TCGCTACTCGTCTATATCTGAAATGACAAACTTCTTGCCCTGATGATAAGAACGTGCGCTTGATTATTGACGTGCAATTGAAACCCGATCCTGTTAGACACTGACAAACATGAGAGTGAAGTGCGAAAAAAGGGAGAAGCCGGGAAAAAAGGAGGACATTATTTCTTCAGCAAACGTGAACAAACTGCCTTGTTTTAATTTTTAATCATCACCTTTTGGACTAATATGAACTTGGAATGACAGAATGACTCTTTAACAGGGGTTACATGTGCTTCTGTAAGATTACAGACACAGAAAAGAGGTTTTCACAGATTGTAGGCTATATTTTGTTTTGTTTTGAACCTAATTAAGGACTAAATGTATGCTGTGTGTAGTTTTTCTGTAGTTGGTAACTTTCAGGTAACAGCTGGACTGTTTCAGGGGACTGTAAGGAGCTGTGTGTGTCTATATATGTTTATTTATTTATTTAATATGATTACAGACGTTACAGTAGGCTATTTCGCGCTGTCATTGATCTGCTGTTAGTAATAAACATTTATACAGAAGTATTTACGTGTGTAAAGCATCTGTTTTGTGAGAAGGGCTTTTCATATGATATGTGAGCGACCTGTACAGTTTTATTGTAGACATTTCCTTGAGCGAGAATGATGCGACTGAAACTTTCTGTCATACACCACGCCCATCAAAAGGGTACCCTTGGTAGTGGAAACGCAAGCCTGGTAAAGGTGACCTGTACTAACCCAAACTATACCGTACTGTACCAGTCAGTGGAAATGAGCCATAATGTAGAAAGTAAATGTAAACCAGGCGCTGGATGATGGTTGATTGTTATATTATTGTAACAATTGCATGACAATGAAATCCATATTCTAGCAACAGTTTTTCATCAAGTGTGTTTTAATTAATTGTTTGTTATTGTTGGGTCTTCAAATGCAAATCAGATTGAATTCCCACAAACTTGTAAACAGAGGTTGTTGTAAATTTGGGAACAGATTTGTGAACAGGAATAAGTTGGAATTGACTGATTATTGAGATTGGACGTGGCGTTATTCAGAAGATAAACAAGTTATTGATTCTTACAGTAGTTACATAGTTTGATTTACAGGATAATGTCTGATCGCCTTTTTCAGAAACAGCCATAATAGAGGGTGTCTAGGAAAGGGTGTCATTTAGAGGCAATTGTTGTTAAATCTTATTGGTTATTTCAAATACGAAATTGAAACCCTATTTTGGCAAAATGTTTTTGAGAATTAGATTTTTCCGTTTAAAGAAACAGGAGCTGTACTTGCATGGCCGAGATGCATTTCAACGCTGACCGCAGAGTGAAATTACTTTCCTTAAAGGCACTTCAAAATAGCCCAGACAGCATGTCACAGCTTGACTTCAAGTCTTAAGAGAGTTCATCTGGGGAGAGCAAATCCTGTCTTTCTGCTGGGCTTAATCCGTACTATTGCTTGAGTTGCATTTACGCTACTGATGTGATGAATGAATTTAGACTATCACAGAACAGTGACATCACAGAAAAAGGATCCCAAATGCTTCACTTGTGTGATAGATTTATATTATTTGTGTTGAAGTAAAAGGTAAGGTTTTAATGTTAGCAACTAAATATTATGAATTGTATTTATAGTTTCTCTAGATTTTAAATGTAATTCCTGTCTTTGAGGTTAGACAATTTAGATTTGCTTGCAGGTGAGCTTGTGCCAGTATCTACCCTGTGGTAATTATCAATAGTCCTTCAAAATACACAGAATAATTCTGGTTACCACAGCCATATCACCCTACAGCCCAAGACCTGTTACTTACTGAAGCTAAGCAGGGCTGAGCCTGGTCAGTACCTGGATGGGAGACCACTAGGGAACACTAGGTTGCTGTTGGAAGTGGTGTTAGTGAGGCCAGCAGCGGGCGCTCAACCTGTGGTCTGTGTGAGTCCTTATGCCCCAGTAAAAGTGAAGGGGACACTACATTCTCAGTGGGCGCCGTCTTTCGGGTTAGAGACCGAAACCGAGGTCCTGACTCTCTGTGGTCATTAAAAATCCCATGGCACTTCTCGTGAAAGAGCAGGGGTGTAACCCCGGTGTCCAAGCCAAAGTCCCTCTATCGGCCCTTATGATCATGGCCTCCCAATTATCCCTTTTCAACGTATTGGCTCTATCACTGTCTCTCCAATCCACCAATAGCTGGTGTGTGGTGAGCGCACTGGCGCCGTTGTCCTGTGACAGCCGTCGCATATCATCCAAGTGAATGCTGCACACTGGTGGTGGTGTGGAGAGACCCCTCTCATGATTGTGAAGCGCTTTGGGTGTGTGGCCATACACAATAAATGCGCTATATGAATACACATTACATTATTTTAAATGGATGGTTCAACAAAATATAAAAATTTGCTGTTACTCTTTTTTTTTGTTGCTATACTCTCTAGGGCTCGGCGATTTTGCCTAAAATCATCATTTCAATTAATTTAACATTTTAACTTGTTTATGATTAATGATTGATGATTAATTATTTTTTATTACTTTTTTTTTATAATTCACAGACAAGTTTTGTACAGTAAATATGCTCGCACATAAGCGAGAGATTTTTATATATTTTTATCATTATTTTTTCTGGGTTTTTGACCTTTTATTTTTGACAGGACAGTAGAGAGAATTGACAGGAAAGCATGGGGAGCAGAGAGGGGAAGGATCGGCATAGGACCGCGAGGTGGTATCGAACCCGGGTCGCCGCGAGCACCGGAGTGCATGTGTCGACGCACTAACCACTACACCACTGGCACCGATGATAAGCGAGAGATTTTTAATGAATGGTGCATTCTTGAAAATTATTAGTGGTTTTAAAATAATTAAAGGAAACACACTCTATGTACTATATATGATTATTTATTGAACATCAACGTTGAACAACTGAAATTAAAACACTGCCTAAGACCAATAATGACTTTATAACCTAATATAGAAAAAAAATTCAAAAACACTTTAATATTTACTATAAATTGCTTTAGTATTTTTTCATGTGGTCATTCATGCGCACAAAATAAATGCGGAATCGATCTCCGACATTGGTAACTTTTACAGACAGCAAAACACAGAGATTTAGGTGTCTGACTTCAGATCTCTTTTTTGAGCCCTCCTCTTACTTCAGCTGCGATGTCAAGCGAGCCTGTTTTTGAGAGGTGTGTGTCAGCGTCGGTGTCAGCCATGGCGAGTGGTATGCGACCACACGAAGCTGCGCCGGTCATACGCGTGTACTCGACACAGAAGTATAAACAGAGCTGGGTCATATGACTCCTGTTTTGGTTTATGTTTTCTTTCTGTTTTTTTTTTCACCCTCCTCTCCGTTTGCTCAACCCTAGGTTTCTTATTGGTTTATTATTCTGTCCATCATCATTATGACGCTCTCCGGTTCCACCAATCCCAGGACGAGCCGCAAGTATTTAAAGCCCTGTCAGTCCAGTGTGTGGTGTGCGCCCTGCCTCGGCGTACCCTTTGTGCTCCACGCAATTTGTTTGTGCAAATGCTTCGTCTATTTTGTGATCTCTCAGTTATTGTGATAATTCGAGTTGCTTGTTGAACTTTGTTGGCTTTAAGTAACATATGATGATGGTTGTGTGATTCTAAACTAAGATTTAACGGACTTATCCGGTTTGTTTTGTTTTAGTTTAGATTGATGTTTTGTTAGATTAGTTTGAGTGTTTTGCCACCCGTGTATTTTTGAGTTTTGTAGTTTGATTAGTTTAGTTCGGGTGTCGAACACACGGAAGATCTCGGTTTTTATTTTTGTTTCTTTTTGACGCCTAGTTTAGACATTAGATTTAAGGATTGTTTTGTTTTGTTAATTTCTTTGATTTGGCTTACACTCGTTGTTCTTGTTTAAAGATAATAATTATAAATGTTTGTTTTTTTTTCTCTCCCCCACTTATTATTGTTACATGTTTCAATTCAATTATTGAGTAAAAGCTTTAAATAAGAGTAACTGAACCTTGCCTCATTATTGATCTGTCGCACACATTACACCTGTCTCACTTAAATATTACAGCATCCCACTTTAACATCATAAAACACGTAACACTCCACACGATGTAAGTAATCGAAAAAAAAAAAAATAGACCTGAAAAAATTTAATCCATTAAAGTTTCCTAATGTCGATTTTAATTACTTTTCAATTAATCACCCAGTCCTACTCCATGGTGTCAGTGACTTTTAAAAAACTGTGTTTTAGTTGAAACCATTGTACTTGATTACACATTCATGCAAGTCAAAACAAAAGCATTAACTTTACTCCGATCCGTACATGTCTTGTGAAGCAAAAATTTTAGTCTGTGGTTCTGGCAAATGAACACAATGTAGATTAATTATTATAAAAAGCATAAAACTGGTACAAAATGTGACTCAAAGCACAAAAATCCAATCAATCTGCTTTTTTCATTTATTTCAGCAATGAAGCAGCACAAATGTTCTTCTCATAGAGCAGTGTAATATATAGTTTCCAGTGGCTAATTCTCCAATAGCAGTGCAAAATATGTTGCAATAGCAGTTAAGGAGCCCCGTAGAAGCAGTTAGATTATCTGGGCTGCAGTTTGTTGATTTTCAGATGCTACGCCTCCTCCCTGGCTTTAGGGCCAAGAATCTCTACATGTTTATTTCACTCAAAGTTTGTTGTTAATAGAAATCCGTCTATTGAGCACTAAGACTAAACCATCCACATTTGTATTCACTCCTCAGTGAGAGTTTTTGGACTGTATGTGCTGCCAGCCCCAATCTCTCCCCCCCTATTTTTTTTTTCTTTTCTTAAATCTTCATGCCTGAAGCAGCTGGTATGGAGCTACACCGATGCTACATAACGGGATGCTTGCTCGAATGTTAGCTTACTCATTTAAGCTACCACTGTCATATATTTATAGCTTTTAAATGAAGCAGATTATGTTTTAGGGCTGTTTTTGTTTTTCAACCCACTTGTCTTTTTCATACTGTCACTCAGTGGTTGTTTCTCTATCTTTGCAGACGGTGGCCTGAGCCATGGGGGCGTTTTTGGATAAGCCCAAAACTGAAAAGCACAATGCTCACGGAGAGGGGAACGGCCTGCGGTTTGGCCTCAGCAGCATGCAGGGATGGAGGGTGGAGATGGAAGATGCACACACCGCTGCTGTAGGCCTACCACATGGTCTGGATGACTGGTCTTTCTTTGGCGTCTATGACGGTCATGCTGGCTCACGTGTCGCTAACTACTGCTCCAAACACTTATTGGAACACATCGTCGCCGCAGGATCGGCAGATGAACTGCGTAAGGCCGGAGCTCCAGCACCTGAGACGCCAGCCATAGAGGCAGTGAAAAGAGGCATCCGCGCCGGCTTCCTGAGAATTGATGAACACATGCGCAGCTTCACGGACCTGCGGAATGGCATGGACAGAAGCGGCTCAACTGCAGTAGCTGTGCTGCTGTCTCCTGAGCATCTGTACTTCATTAACTGCGGGGACTCCCGGGCCCTTCTCTGCCGTAGCGGTCATGTCTGCTTCTCCACCATGGACCATAAGCCCTGTGACCCTCGGGAGAAGGAGCGTATACAGAATGCAGGCGGCTCTGTGATGATCCAGAGGGTTAACGGATCACTGGCTGTATCCCGAGCACTGGGGGACTATGACTACAAGTGTGTAGAGGGCAAGGGCCCTACGGAGCAGCTCGTGTCACCAGAGCCTGAAGTATTTGAGATTGCTCGGTCAGATGCGGAGGATGAGTTTGTTGTGCTGGCGTGTGACGGTATCTGGGATGTGATGACGAACGAGGATCTGTGTGCTTTTGTGCGATCGAGGCTGGAGGTGACGGACGACTTGGAGAGAGTGTGCAATGAAGTGGTGGATACCAGTCTACACAAGGTATGGTCCCTAGTGTTCACTATTGTGTGTGACTTAATAACTCTATTCCCAATGAGATTTTGATATTTTTTTGTTCTTTCTATTTTTTTCAGGGAAGTCGAGATAATATGAGTATTGTATTAGTTTGTTTGCCAAATGCACCCCAGGTGTCAGAGGATGCAGTAAAGAGAGATGCAGAGTTGGACAAGTATCTTGAGTCACGTGTGGAAGGTAAGAAAGATAAGACGTCATTGGCTGAACAAATAATAACGGTCTTCACACCATCATTAGAAAGCATTTATACGTGTCGCTGAGCATGCCAATCCCTTATTTGACTTTGAAACCAAGGATATATCATACATAAAGCCATGTGGAAAATGCGAGGTGTGCCGCTTCCTCTGTCAAGTTTAAGCACACTCAGGAGCTTGACCTCCCGTGGCATCTGCCATTGCTAAGCAACCATCAGCTGCACTCCTAGGACTAGGGCTGTGACGGTGCCAATTTTGTACTATTGAGGTGGTAGGTCACCAAAAACCGCCGGTGAGGGGGTGTCAACCATACTAAAATAATCCGTGACAGTAGTTCACTCAAAAGAGAAAGTTCTTTCTGTCTTTAATGACCAACGCTCCCATCATTCCTACTACTTTCAGAACATACATTTTGATATTTTACCATATGAAAAAATATGAACATTTTTCTTCTATAAACTAAACGCCTCAGATTGGTGCGGAGTATCATTATGCAAAAATCAAGCTCCTCTGCGCTTCACTCCCAAGCACATTCCATGACAAATCCTTCACCCCACAAACACTCTGCCTGTGTCTGTTAGGTTAAAAACTAAGATATGATGACAAAATCGCAGACAGAATTGTTCTCTTTAAGCTACATCATGACTTGGAATTAAAAAATCATTTTAGAATCTATTCGATTTGACTTAAATACCATGAATTCATTTAAGTTAATTCTTTCGTTTATTAGTTTTAGTTGGATAAGTCCAGGAAGGAATTATTCAATTTCATAATTAGTTATCAAAATAATATTAAGTAAAACTAGGATAGGCATTAATAAGACATGTCGTGTATCCCACGCTTTATTCGGAAATTTATTCCTGCACCGCAAGAAATCGGGTCGGGTTCCGCGGCTCCTGCGGTACGGCTGCTGGAATGCAGACCTCTAGTTCGTATTTACCACGTCTCGCTTCTCCTTCGGTCGAAACCGGAAATACTTTCAAACTGCAGAGTTTGGGTTCTTTTTCGAGAACAGGTCACTTGGTGCGCATCTCGCCATCTTACCTCACCTTTCTCTCTATCCTCCACACTGTCCTTTGATGACAATCTCGGATACGCATTTTAAGGTATTAAATATATAAATATTAAATAAACTATATATAATATTTAATACTTGTCTCCTATTAGTGCATTGTTTTTTATGACCATATAACGGTATTGAAACTGACACGTTGCTATTTTTAGATCGCGCCGTATACCATATTACCGTAATGCCGCCAAAGCCTACTACATCAAGACATGGCCGATTTATAATTGCAGCAAACTGTTTGGAAGCATTAAAAGTGTCCAAGAAGATGTCCAAAATTTTTGCACGCATTGACCCAGAGCCTGTTTAGATTCATGTCACTGATGTAAAAGTGACGGGTGATTACTCTATGATGATCGAAATGGCCTTACGCCCCATTCCCACGAGGCGTCAGCTTCAACACTTCCCATTCACTTTGAATGGATGACGTCAGGCGTTGCCGAACTGCATTGTGGATCCGTCGGTGCCGCTTCAGAGGTGTTTTTTCTCTTTTCAAGCTGCGACGGAAACATCAGCCGATCAGATTGCTGTATGAAAATATACCAGCTCAGATATTGGCCTATTGCTGAATAATTTTATTGGCCAACGCTGCTATGATGATCGCGTCAGCTCTAACTTCAGACATGCCATCTGTCAACAAGCGTTGACGCTGAAGCCCCGTGTGAAAAGGGTGGTTAAACACCCAGCAGGCATGACGTCAGATTGACGTTCTACCCCAACGTCATACCCCAATGCTGCATTTTGATTGGAACTGAAAATTGGGTTGACGTCGGATGTTTGCAAACATCCAAAAATTACATGTAAATGCATCAGCTTTTTACCGCGTAAAACTCACTATTTACTACTTTTGAATACTTTTGAAAGGTCTAGTCATACTCATAGGTTCTTCTCAAACTTTGAGTAATATTTACAACAGATACTTTTACTGGCACTACATGTTGAGGCAAGTAATGTTTTTTTGCTTGAGTATGATATTTCAGTACTCCTGCCACCACTGCACACCACTTGCACAGTTTCTTCTTGTTTCCTTTTGAAATAGTGAACACTGAGATTTCAAGTGCGATTATGTGCACGGCCCCTAAAATTCAATTCATAATGCATTTCTTACGACCATTTGAGCGGTAAAGCAGGAAGCCTACAAGAATGTGGATGGCAACTAATTTTTGTGTTGTAGTTTAAAGTACAAATGCTTTGATTTGGTGTGCTTTCATAAAACATGTCCCAAAATAATCACATGGACACTTTAGAACATTAGTGTCGAACTCAGTTTCTGGAGAGCTGCAGCCTTGCAATATTTAGTTCTAACCCTGCTTCAACACACTTGACCTGCTGGTTTTGAAATTGCCTAAAGAACACAGTTTTGATCAGGTTTGTTTAACTGGTGTGAAAGTAAGTTTTGGTGAGTTTGACACCCCTGCTTTAGAATGCATGTACAACTATACCTGAGCCTTAGAGAACGCCAGGCAGATTTCCATTTCTTGATTTATTTTTAGGCCATCATATACAAGCCCAGAGTAATAAATAAACCTACTTCTATGCTTTTGCCAACCTGTTTATTCTTTTTCTTAGTTGAATGTCTCGATTGCCTGACACTGTTTCTTTTTTTCTCCACTGGCCTGTCCTTTCTCTATTGGACATTGAACATATTCTGGCAAGTGGTTGTTAGTTTTGTGTGGATTTGGGGGTTATGTAAACTCTTGGCCTTGAGCTTTGTGCAAAGGTTGGGGTAACGTTGTTGTAATGTTTGGCTGGGTGCTGTGAGAGCCTGAGGGAGTCATCAGCACTGCTGCTCTGTTGAGGAATGTTCTGGCTGAACATCTAACTGGCAACAGGCCCAGAGCGGCCCAGTGCAGCCCAACTGGGCCACAGACTTTCCTTCTAGAGTCTCACTTTTGTCTCTGAGGGTCTCTAAGTTTCTTTCTTTATGTCTTTACTTTGCATTTCTCTTTTAAAAAAATAGAATACAATTTAACACCAGTGCTTTAGTAGTGCATTGCTTCTTTCTTAGTACACGTGCACAGGAGGTCTCATATACAGAAAACCCTACTGCATGGTATTCGGTTAATTGTGAATTAGTTTCTTAAATATTTAATAAGGTTAACCTGTGGTTTGTTATTTCTTTCTCAGAACTCATAGAGAAGGCAGGGGAAGACGGTGTGCCTGAACTGGCACATGTCATGAGCAGCTTGTCCCAAGAAAACATCCCTAACCTTCCACCAGGGGGCGGCCTTGCCAGCAAGTAAGTAAAAATCATAGTCAAAATCACAAATGTAAAGGGTTACATCAGGGGTCTCAATATCAAATTGGCGGCGGGCTATTTCAATGACTGACAATTCATAGGGGGGCCGTTTTAGCAGTTTAAGCTCAAGAAAAAAAGTGGAACCTGACGTAATTGATGCAACTTAGGACAGCAGACATGATATATTTAAAGCATTACCTGTCATCAGTGATGTTGAAAATAAGCACCTTTATCATGTCACACATCAGCTGCAGAAATATATCTGCGGTTATTGTATGTCCGAGCGTTCTTCCACAGAGTATATGCAGTCAAAACTAGCTTTTTGTTTCTTGTTGTACATCTTGAAGGGGTAGTTTAAATTGCTATGAAAATACTACAAATAATAGGCATAATAATTATTATTATTCGGTAAAATTACAACAAAGAGGGGAAAAACATGTACATATTCACATTTACTTTAACATGTTAAATTCAACCAGCAGTACAATTTTATTAATGTACATAGTTTTTATGCAAACCCCAATCAGCATGCAGTGTTTCCTCAAGGATTTTTTCCCGCTGTTTTTTTTTTTAACACAGATCTACCAACTACCTGTGGCGTTATTTCAATGACAAATGTTGTGAGGGCAGTATTAGAAGTCAAGATTGCATTTATGTAATAATATAAGCCGCTTCAAAAGCGCGAAGATCTTCTTGTGCGCTCTCAAATAAAAGCTGCTGAGTGCCATTTAGTGCATTTATGTAATGAGTATGTCTCCAACATTTATTAGATTTGCTAGGAATATTTATGAATGTCTCTAATAGACCTACAGAGCGATATTAATGTAGCCTGAAGTAAAGTGAAACGGCAATAAGTCGTGTTTGCTGGCCTCATGCACTTGTCAGTCAGAGAAGTTCATGCTGTTACAATTTACTCATCTTTTAATACATTTTGGTGCGATTATTACCTGCTATTAAAAAAATTTAATGTTTTGAATGAGAAGCTGTAATGTAGCCGTGGCGGGATGAATTTTGTCGTGGCCCCCCGGCCCCGCCATGGAAGAATGAATGTAGTGGTAACCATGGCATATCTATCAGGAAAATCTATTAAAGAAGATCATTTAAATTGAATAATAGCAAAATTATTATATTTGTTACACCCCCAGCATAATGTGTAAGCCATATAGAAGTGTTTGCACAACAAAATTCAAGTGGTATAAAACTGATAATGATCAAGCGGCCTTAATAAGAATAGAGAACTTTAGCCACAGAATTAAAACGCATGTGTGTTACTTTCAACTGTACACTGAGAGAAAATGAAAGTAAAACTAATACGAATGCAGTACTTTAAATGTTGACTAGGTGGTGGATCAAAAGCACAAACGGCTACATGCGACTGCACAATAATGATAGTGGGTCAACAGTTTTTTTTTAGCAGGCCGAATCTCGTTATATTTTTGACTTCAGTTGCGGGCCGGTGGGAGGAGTAGGGCTGGCCATAAATGGCCCATGGGCCGGCAGTTTGAGACCCCTGGGTTACATGCTGGGCATAAAATTGACACTAACACCAAAAGGCAAATTAAAAATCTCTCAGAGAACACAATATAATTTCATTAGTACACTGGCTAATTTGAAAATGGATTATTTAATATGCATAACATTGATCTTTTTTATATTAAAATGAGGCAGTTTCATGGTAAATAGCTGGTACAGTTTCTCAGGTCACTGGCCAAATGCTAGGTCCTTGTTTCATTCGTGAGGTTTTAGTGATCTGTAATGCTAACAAGTTCACAGATTCTAGCTTGACTTTGAATCTTGATCTAAAAACTACTTCATGTAAATGAAAAAAGTTTTTATTTTATTCTCTTCACAGACACAGTGTTATTGAGACAGTGTACAACCGATTGAACCCCCAAAGAGAGGAGGATGGTGTAAGTATGAAAAGAGCCTTTTAATTGTCTAGAACTTCCTAGAAGAATGTGCATTTAGACCCTGGTCTTTTCATAAAAATGTAGAAATTGAACCTTCCCCTTGACCTGTTGGGTTCATCTCATCATGAGACGTTGCCTTGCGTTTGCCACCTCACTTAATGGACCTGTTTATACCTGGTATTAGCATTTATCAAGCAAGTGTTATTTTCTGACATTGTGTTTGCTCTCTCCATCCCATGCCACCTGGCAGCTTCTCTCATTTATTTTCTGCTGAGAGTAAAGCATCCTGCTCAAATCACAGCTGTAATGAGCTCATTCCAATCATCCCCTGCCCCAAAGCACAGCGGTTGAGATCACCTCATCACAAACACTCCTCGGCACTCCAAAAACATCAGTTTTTGATAACTCAATGAATATAATCGCATATAAGTAGATACCATTATCAAATGTTCAGCCACGTCTCATGATGATGATGTCACTGCTCAACGTGTGATCTGGTGAAAGTGTGTGATGCATGTCGAAAAGCCTGCAGTTTGAATATCTCTCTTGTTATTGTTACTATTAATAGAATCATTTGTGTGAGGGCCAACACCTTAGGAGAACATGTCTGTTGGTTTTGTTTGTTTAATTAGTGTCATGCATTCTCAAGTGTTTGTCTGGATGCCAGTTGGACAAAGCTGAAGTTTTGATCCAAATGTTCCCCTCTCCCCTACTGGACATCCTGGAGATTAGGTTTTGTGTGTTTTCAGGATGCTCTTGGGCTCTCCTCATTAGGTTTGTCATGATACCAAAAGTTCCAGTTGTTGATACTAATGCCCGTGGGATTTCTGAATTGTTAATAGACTTTTTTTTTTGCGTCAGCTAGACTTTTATCAGGCACCAGAAATCATGCTCCTATCTTACCAGTTTTAGCATCCCTTCATTGGCTTCCTGTTAATTTTAGAATTCAGTTTAAGATTTTTTTAAATTGTTTTTAAAGCACTGAATGGGCTGGCACCTTTTTATATTTCTGAACTTACAAACTTACTTTCAACTCCTTAGTCGCTTAGGTCTTCAAATAAAATAATACTGCGAATTCCTCGGTCACGACTTAAACTAAAAGGAGATAGAGCCTTTGCAGTCGCAGATTCACATTTGTGGAACCAGATGCCACCGGACATTACGAGTGCTTTTCTCTCTATTTTTAAGTCCAGACTTAAGACATTTTTATTCTTTTGCTTTCCCAGGCTTTTCATTTTTAGTGTTATGTTACGGTTTTAGAATGTGTGCTGTGGTTTTGTTCATCACTTTGGTCAGTGCCAAACTGAAGTTAAATGTGCTTTTTAAATAATCTTTTAAATAAATAATCATTTATTTTTATTTAAATGGATCTTAGTTTTTACACTTTCATCTTTGGTTAGTGTATAAAGTTGTTGTTTGAGCATGAGAAAGATGGCTTAATAAAGGATAATAGAAGGAAAATATGAAACTGTTGACTTTATTTTGTCCATGCGATAAGCACTACCTGACAAAAGTCTTGTCGTTGATCCTAGTTGGTTTTAAGAGCAACAATCAATAACTTGACTTCTAGTTGATCGTTTGGAAAAGTGTCAAAAGGTCAAAGATGACCTAATGGAACCTGCATGGAGCCAAGATTCTCACAGAAACCAGTCAAGTTTGGTGAAGGAAAAATCATTGTTTGGGGTTACATTCAGTTTGGGGGCGTGCAAGAGATCTGCAGAGTTGATGGCAACATCAGCCTGAACATCAAAGTTCCTGAAAGCAAAGAAGGTCAAGGTGCTTCAGGATTGCCCAGCCCAATCACCAGACATGAACATTATTGAGTATGTCTGGGGTAAGATGGAGGAGGAGATGAAATGAATCTGAAATGAAGAACTCTGGGAGTCCTGCAAGATCGCTTTCCTTGCTATTCCAGATGACTTTATTAATAAGTTATTTGAGTCACCGCAGAGATGTATGGATGCAGTCCTCCAAGCTCATTGGGAGTCATACACAATATTAATTATTTTCCCAATGCATCATGACTTTATATTCTATACTGTGCATTTGCTGTTAAGTGCAAAGACTTTTTTCTTAGCAAAGTGAGACCTTACTGTCCTAATTAAATTATTAAAAATTAAGGCATGACCATATTTTATTTTGGTAAAATAAGTGTTATCTAGAGGCCTTTGACTTTCATATAAGCCACTTCTATAACCAAATTATCAATTGGAAGTCAAGTTATTATTTGTTGTTCCTAAAACAAGTAGTGTATATTGTCATATTGTGTAGCCCTAATTAAAATAATTTTCACCCAATGAGGTGAGATGCATGGTTTCGTACTGACACAACGTGTACCTTGACAGCCGTCTTCGTGTTTGTGCCTTGTTAAAACAAAAAAAACAGGGCACAAACAAAAAAGCAGCATAGTTTGTTTCACTCCAAACATTTAATTTCTATTGTGAAATAATTAAATTAAATTATCAGTGGACGATTTCAGACTTTATAATAGGGCAGCGCAATATATCACATTTATTATCGCAATAATAATAATAATATATGCAGTATCCATATCGCAGAGGCGAGATAATTTAATTACATTTTATGTGGCAAGCATTTGGTATTTGCTATTGGCTAGACTAGCCCAAAGGTGTACCAAGAGCCTCAGAGCAGAGAGCTGGAAATAAATACTAATGTCTGGAGTAAAGACACGAGAGAAAAATGACAACAGTAAAATAAATACAGTGAATACAAATCTGAATATCCATTGACATTTCACTCACGTTTTACAGTTTTTTTTTTAACTGAATTCAATTTAATTAGATCCTAAATATATATTTGTTTAGATATGTTTAGTTATGTGTTTTAGTTTGATCATTATATCAATTATTTCATGTCATATCGCAAGAAATAGCATTTTCACTGGATTCAACAACAATACAGCAAATTACATGAAGTGATAGTTTTACATATTTTTAGTTGCAACCAGCCCAACTTTACAAACTCTGAGCTAAGGGAAACCTACAGTGTAGATAACACCTTGTACAAAAGCACAATGGGAAAATTTAAATATTAACATAGTAAATTAAAAGAATCGAAAGTACACTACTGTTTCAAGATATTACTGTTTTCAGCATAATAAACTACCTTTTAAAAAAGAGACCCAAACATTCATTCAATCATTTTCTTTTCGGCTTAGTCCTTTTATTAATCTGGGGTTGCCACAGCGGAATGAACAGCCAACTTATCCAGCACATGTTTTACACAGCGGATGCCCTTCCAGCCGTGACCTATCACTGGGAAACATCCTCACACACCCATTCACACACATACACTAAGGACAATTTAGCTTACCCAATTCATCTATAACACAGATTTTAGTAACTTTGTACTTTTGACATTCTCAGGTCTAATCACTATGTTATGTTCTGTTGGCTTGTTGTGTGGAGTAGACTAGATCCTTGTGTTTCTCACTTATAGCCAGTGACCATATGTGATCAAAATTTTTAACCAATCCATCCCATTTTTATTTTGTTAATAATTCATTTTTAAATGCCAAATGTTTTTCATAGCCTGATGAACATTTTGTTGTGTGGTTTTACAGAGTACATTATTTTTAAATAAATGTGTGACCTTTTGCACATACAAATTTAAGGATGGTGTTCATATCCAGAACACACATAGTTTAAGATATTAACAAAACTAATGATGTATGTGTTCACCCTTTGATTAATGCAGCCCACCTGTTTCATTTGGTAAGTTTCTTACTAATAAATTCCAATATTTCTTGAAGAGATTGGAGATTTTTTTTAAAACATTGTGGCAGAATCTCACTTCATACTTCCCATATGTATTGATTTCATAAATGTATCAGAAGAAGTGCAGGGAATTATCCTTTTGTTTAATTGCTGGTAAGTTTTTTTTTTAGCAGTTTGCACTATGACCAAATTGTCAAAGTAGTACTACGTAACTCTTAACCTGTTAAACATTTAAGCCCTGTAGATAATTAACTTTTTATTTCCGTGTTGCATTAACAAAGCAGCATTGTTTCTGTCAATGAATGCAGTTTAATTTTATGTCTTAGAAAATGACTTACCTAGATGTGTTCTTGAAAAGGAATCATGTTAGTAAACTGTTGTTCTCCAACAATGTGTACATGCACATTGCAAAGACTGTCAAACAGCACCTCATTATGAGGCTAGGTTATCTTTCCTGTTGATCAAAGTATTACCCTTATAAACACCTTCGATTGTCTAAAGCTGTTAAGATAAAGATGTATGTGACTGTGTGCAGGTATTAAATTAAACAAAATATTCTATGGTCAAGTGATTTGTAGTAGCCGGATGAGATGAGTGTCATTGGTTTAATGGGTTGTTACTGTGTACTAACTTTTTTCAGAGTGTCAACCAGTCAGAATAAGTGTTCCAGAGAGCAGTGTAATAATAGTCTTTAATGTTGATGCTTTGCACGTGGGTAAAAGATGAGATGTCCCATTTGGCACCTGCTTCAAAATAAAATTACAATGTGATTTACATGCATAGAAATCAGTTTACTTGTTTGAAATAATTTGTTAAAAAAGAAATGAAAATGAAACCTAATTATTCTGACCTACTTGTTGAACATACACAGTAGTGCGTACTCATCATAACCTTTGTCTTTTAAATCAATAAGAATGCATAAAACATAGTGATTTGAAAGATAATGGACAAGAATGAGGATTAAAAATAAAAATAATATTTTCAAGCTTTAATGACATACATTAAGTGATTTTGTTCTAAAAGCAACATTGAGCATTAAAAAAGTTACGTGCATCCCTAGTAATACCCTTAGTGTCTTTTATAAACGCAGAACTTTAAGGTGCCACATTTAATTTTAATTTGTACAAATTTTGTTCCGTGCAATCGAAATATGGTATTGCAGCCAGGGCCTTTGTGTTTGAGATAAAGTGCATCTAGTAGGTTATCGCAAAATATAGCACGACAGGCTTATCTGCCCGGCCAAAATGGAGGGCTATAGTTTAGGACTGAAGGCTTTATTCTGAAAACAACTATCCTGGATGCACTTTATCCCTCTTATTATTACACTGTTACACAACAACAAAATATGAGCCTCAATAGATAATTAATACTGTAATTAAACACAAAGCTTACAGAATTGAAAACAGCTGACAGTCCCACAGTCAGACAGGCAGATACATATTAGTGTTATTATGTGGATTTGAATGCATTCACTCAAGGTCAAAGTCATTTAAAACTCCCAGATGAGCCTGTGTTGTTCAGCAGTTGTTATCTCAGAATAACATGTTACAACAGACGAATTGAAATCAAGTATTCCAGACAGCACTGTAATGTAATATACTATTGTGATGAATTTAAGGTGCGGTTAATTGTGAAATTGGTTAATCTCTGAATCTGTTGGATTGCTTTATTCTTTATTTGTTTTTCTGGGTAGAAATTATTAAAGCAGAGTTGTTCTTCTCATTCAAATAAAATCCTAAACAAAAATATTAACTTGACATTTCTAGCTTCAGGGTTTGGGAATCACTGCAATGCTCAACTGTAATGGAGTGTGGGAGACCATGGGGCAATTTAAATGAGCGTACTCTTAGTCCAAGTGGTGTTTGTTTCTTTTTGTGTGATGTTTTTGCTGACACGGTCACTTGTAGCTAGTCTTCAGCTCTATATTACGACTTAATGTTTTTGTTTCATAACTATTATAGGTAACTAAGCAGTATTTTTGAAGTTTACATTAAAGGTTTGACGTTTTATTCCTTCCGCACACTGTAAACCCTTTTGGACAATATTTATCACAGTATGAAATGTTACATTTTTAGAATATTTTAAAATGCAATTTAGGCATGAAGCAAATCTTCATGACTAATCAAAGTATTTAGCCATTACTCCAGTCTTCACTATCACATGATCCTTAAGAACTATTCGGATATGCTGATTTGGTGCTCAGGAATTTATTTTATGTTTTAATATTAAAATGAAGACTGCACAGCACAATATATTGTTTTAGCAATGTGAACATTGGCAATAGTCACATAACAGAGTATGCAATGTTGAGTCTACATTGTACTGTAATTCATCATTTGTATGTGATTGAGGCCTGTGACTGTACGAGCATTTTAAAAGCATTTGGAATAAGGAATTGTACCATTAGTAATAATACATGTTTTTAATTATTTTAATTTTAAGTAATGTACCTGACACTTTAGACTCAGGAAATGATGAAACACTGTTTAATGTTTTCTTTATTATATTTATACATGTTTTAATTAGTTTTAGTAGATTATATGCAAGAATTTACACCTACAGAATCATTCCAATCAATCTAAAATAAGAAGATGTTTCCAGATAGATATTCAAGTCATCTGGTGAAATTGTATTCTTATCACTATTTATTGCAGACTAACAAAACATCACAATGTTAGATTTTTCTGATACCGTGCAGCTCTAATTATATATTAAAACCATTGCTAAAAACAGCTCTGTAGTGATTGATTTAAATATGAATAATATTTTGATCTCTAAATGTATTTACTGCCAATTTCAGAGCCCACTTAAGAATAATGGTTTTAAATATTAGTGTATATAAAAATTTGTTTTAAGGATCACAGTGTTACATTTGGGCTTTTAACATCCGGTATTAGTTTCAGGTGCATAAAGAAGTCTCTCCACTGCTCATTTAATGTCTAATCCAGCTGATTGTGCTTTCTATGTGGTTTCTTTCTTTCTTCAGAGCGGTGCTGATCTGGAGGACCCCTGGTAGTCAATTCCACCTGAGGAAAGAGCCGCGTTTCTACACAAGACATCAGTCGTTTCTTTTGTTCCAGTGAAACCAGGAGATTCAGCGGACAGTCTTTCAAGAGTCACAACCCAATGGAAACACAGTACAACCAAAAGCATTAAAAACCTTTTTCTAATACATGAGGGAATGAACGGGAGTTCCTGTTTTAAAAACAAAACACAAAAATAACAAAACTACACATTGTACATTAAAAAAAAAAGGAAAAAAATAATTTTCTCACTTTTTTTGTGGTGGCTGTGGGTGTTCATTTTGAAACTGTGGAGGATGTTTTGTGGGACGGGACTCATGTATGTGCTGTGGTGCCTTTTCCAGTTGGCTGCTGGGTTTGCTAAAGCCGGATACGCAGAGCCCAGGATACAATTGAAAAACTTGGCATTGCAAGACCACTGCAGCCCCTGATCTGGGGTTACAGATCATCACTGGGTTTAATGGAGGATCTGTTTGACTGACAAATGCGTGTGGAACATGAATTGCTTCATTACTACATTACCTGCGTGGAAAGGATTAAAGCTTGTCGGCTTTTTTGCAGCTTCCCTCCCTCCTCATGTGCGCTGACTGACCTTTAGGTAGAACCTCGGACTTCGTTTTTGCAGGTTATCACCCGAGTGGTTGTCAAAAAGCTTTTTAATCCTGCTGTTTCAGAGAATATAGAATATATAGAGATAAATATATATATAAATTCATATATATATTTTTTAATTTTCCCAAGTTTGACGTTCTTGTGGCTTAACGTGTGAAGCAATAGAGTTGCGTTGGTGGCGACTGACCGATGAGCGTGCCACGTTGTGTGAATTACTGAGATTGTTTATGTACTCTTGTTTCCCAGTCACCAAGGATTTGTGGGTGATGTTGGCTAAAAGGGATTGTAACTGCCCACCAATGCCATGCTGCTTTTCTCAACTCCCCGTTTGTATTATATCCCGGTCTTCTCTCACTTTCACAACGCTGATGTAAGCTTACAGCAAACCTGCCTTTTTCTTCTTTTAGTTTTTTTTTTCTTTTTTCCTCCACAGTAGGGCTGTACGATTTGGGGAAAATGTCTAATTGACATTTTGCTGTCATATGCGATTTGATTTTGTAAAACCAAGCTTCAGTTCAATTTTGCAGCACACACTTTAAATACAAAGAAGCTTTGAGATATCTTAATGCTTTGCTTGTTTGGTTGATGCTATGTTAATACTTTTATTTTTATGATTTCCAAACACTCAATGCATAGAATGACAACATAACACACTTCCACAGTACACATACTATATATAGTACACAGCATAATTAAGTACACCCCTTTTGTGAGAATAAATGAATATTTTTATTCGTCTTTTAGTGAATATAGATATTTTAGTGCATCTAAACAGTTTTATTAAACAAAATGAGTGTTCATCTTACATCTTTAGGCATAAGAGATGACATTTAAATTCAAACACGTTGAAAAGTATTGCAAACAAAAAACATTTTTTGCTTTTCTTCTTATTATAATTTGATTGAATGTTTTTCTCTAACATTAATTCTGGTGTACACGTTTCAGACATTCATCATAAGTTATTTAGTTTGATTTGCTCCAGATGTGGTTCTGGTGCTGACTAATGTAATGTATATGCTCAAATAAAATATTGTTGCGTTAAAAGATCTGTGAAGGGTGTACACATTTATGCTGGGCACTGTATAAATACAGTTTGTGTATGTATGCATATCCTTTAGGAGACTCCTGTGTCAATTTTGGTCAGAAACTTTGCTATAAAGAAAATAACTAGGTCTGACTTTGCCAAGGATATGAATAACTTTGGACCTGACATGTATATTATAAAAACTAAATTGTTAACATGGTATTAACCAAACAATGTACATTTTTTTTCTCATGAGAAAACTTTGTGAAGCTTAACATATTTTTGATAGTTATTGCTAAAACTGATAACCTGTCGGTAGGGCCAGACGGAATCTGTGGACGTTTTTTGCTATTTCTGCGGAGAATTTTGGTAAAAGTCTCCAGAATTATTTTGGGTGTATCAGAACTAAAACCTTAATATATGAAATAAAAAATAATATAAAATATTAAATTATATTATTATTATAATATAAAATTTTCACATTAGTCAATAATATTACTGAAATTAAGTAAAAAAAAACTGAATAAATATAGATTTACACACATTTACACAAGTAAATGAACAGAATTAATGATATGCTAAAAATCTATGTGCGGAGATTCCGGGTGGGCCTACCTATCGGGTGTCTGAATATTTATCACAATGTCTGCAGAATCTGTGGACGTTTTTTTGCTATTTCTGCGGAGAATTTTGGTAAAAGTCAGCGGAATTATTTTGGGTGTATCAGAAGTAAAACCTTAATATATGAAATAAAAAATAATATCTTTTTAACTTCCGTGTTTAAAATGCAAATCCAATTAGATTAACTTTATTTGGTAAATAAAGCAAGTTTGTCATATAATATATCCAGTAAAAGACAGAAAATATTACTTTACAAACTGCATTTTACTTAAAACAGATGAACATTTTCACATTAGTCAATAACATTACTGAAATTAAGTAAAAAAAACTGAATAAATATAGATTTACACACATTTACGCAAGTAAATGAACAGAATTAATGATATGCTAAAAATCTACGTGCGAAGATTCAGGGTGGGCCTACCTATCGGGTGTCTGAATATTCATCCCAATGTCTGCAGACATCTCATCCTGCAAAAACTCGACTTCTTTACTGCGCGTCTACCAATATAAGCTGCGATGTGATGCGAAACTCAAGTCAGTCTGTTCAAGAGTAGATCAGTTTTAATGTATCTGTGCCAAACTTATTCTTATTTCTAGAAAGAAAAATCTGGGATATTTTGGAAATTTTCCATTGTGGAAACTTTACCAGGAGTTTATGGGAATTTACATCCTTTTATGAGAATTACTTAGAAAATTGGGGAGATGTTTGTGTACATACACTGTATTTTGTATATGTACTTGCATTTTGATTTTTGGTCATAAGCTGACATGCATGCTAACAGATTTAACAAATCTGTGTTAGTGAGGTTTTAACAAGGACATTTTTCTATTTGATTCAATTGAGATTGGGATTTTAAATCTTTCTGAGGTGAAATATATCCGCAAATGAGATGCGTTGGCACTTTTCTTTAGAATAAGTATATAGACGTTTCTTTAGAATGTATGTGGCTTCACTATGAAGTAGATGGGGGGGATTTTCCTTCCCACAGGCATTTGATTGATGAATGTGCATTAAATTGAACTGAAGTTGCATTAAATGTGGTTGTTTTAACCCAGATTGTCCCTCAAGATTTATTTTATATTCGATTATGTTTCCGGTTGTAGACTAATCTGCATTTCCAGTTTATTCCCTTTAATTCCCACGGAAAGTTTCCAGCTTGGAAAATATACAGAATATTTCAAAGCAACCCTAGTCAGTGGCTAGTATAACAGATTCCCTCTACCTCTACCTGTTTTGTGTTTGTAATTGTGAGCATTACTAATTTTGGATGGTTTGGTCAATGTTGATTTGTGGAGAACAAGTGTGCGCTCACTCCATTGGAGTGACACTGACAATCAGCCACTTGCTCTCAAACAGAGCGTATACATGTGTATACGTTATATTGCATTCATACTGCAGTGTTTGCAGCTAGCTAACGAAGTCCAAATTACAATTCTGATTGGATTTCGATGAATCGTTCAGCCCTACTGCAGAGTAGATTTTAAAGTGGTGGTTTTTTTTTTTTTTGGTTAGCTGATCATGAGAATGCTAGCTTTGTGATGAATTCACAACTGATTTTCGGATTCATCACCCTGCTGAAAAATCCAGCTTAAACCAGCCTTCGATGGTTGGCTGGTTTTAGCTAGTCGACCAGCCTTGTTTTAGAGGGGTTTTGGCCACTTCCAGGCTGGTTTCCAGCCTGGTCTTGGCTGGTCAGGCTGAAAAGTGACCAGCTAAAACCAGCTTGACCATCCTGGTTTAAGCTGGACATAGCTGGTTTTGGCTGGGCTCCCAGCCTGGTTAGACTGGTCAAGCTGGTTTTAGCTGGTCATCTCCCAGCCTTTCCAGCTAAAACCAGGCTGTAAATGGCTGGAAACCAGCCTGGAAGTGGCCAAAACCCCTCTAAAACCATCGGCTGGCTGGTTTAAGCTGGATTTTCCAGCAGGGCATGCAAGTTTAATGTTGGTTTTGCTCAAATATGTTTTTAGCAGATAACCGTAATCATTGGCCTCAGAGCCTGAAAGGTAATATTGAGCAAAACAAACATACAGAGAAAAAAAAACGCTGGCTTGCTCTTCATGTTCAATCATTCTGACAAAAACACTTTTGAGTAGGCAACACACTTGATGTTCCATCTTGTATTTATTTGTGATTATTTTACACTGCCTGTAAAGTGACAAATCAGTATTGGAGTAGCTTATGTGCAACATACACTAAACATCTTACCGTTTTTACAATAAGGATGACTTTTTTTTTTTTTTATTTGTCAACAAAGGAGTATCCTTAAACTCCTTTCCCAGTGGTTTCTTTCCAAAATAAAAGTTCTGTGAGCAAAGAGACAAAAGATATTGGTGCTATTTTTTTTTCTTTTACTGTTGGTAAAAATTATAATACTAATTTGAAAATATAAGAAAAATAATTATTTATAATATAAACAATGGTGAACAATACTGCTAGTAGAATTAATAAATAACTAGTAATATAGACCATTTCTATATGGTCATGTCATTGGCCCATGAATATTTCCTGCTCGTTATCATACTATTTCATAACTAACAAGTGGCAGTCGAATCATATATTCACGTTAAAACAGCTATCATAACATTATTTATCAATATGTGGAGCTTTTTGGATTCCCGGATGCTATGGAAATTAAAAATGTAAAGCAGGAAATACATTAGGACCATTGTTATTGTTTACATCCCTCAAAATGGTCAATTTTATCAGTACATACTTTACAGATAAATAGTATTTTTTTTTTTTTTTACAATTATTAAAATAAATACAGATCAAATGTAGTATATTTAATTATTGTATTTATTAATAATAATGATGATGATAATAATAATACTAATAATTGCTAAATTACATTTGTCACTGTTCTGCCTTTTTATTTATATGAAATAATGCACATAGTTGTCATGAATGTAAAAACTATTATTTTACTATTAACTACTAATATTTACTGTATTTTATTTTAGTTTTGTTTTAATACCAAAA